CAACAGTTACTTCAGTTATTGCTTGTGATCACCTGGAATGCATTTCAGCTGGTGGTAAAGGGGTGGGAGAGTCCCAGCAAAAGGAGATGAGAATTGTCGAAACACAGGAGTAGAATTACATCTGACCATAGTAGATAACAAAACAAGAAAAAGCCCAGTTCCAACATCAAAAGCTCATCTCCACAAACAGCACAAGACTCCGGGCCTTTCTATGACTCACTGCGTATTTTGCTGAACCCAATGTTAACATTTCAGAATTTTGCTGGTTGCTTAATACTAATGACAATGAAATTCTCATCTTTCCTGGGCTAATCATATGAAAGACAGGGCCTTAGGTGAAATGACTGAAATGACACTGAAAGGAAACAGAGTTGTTGGAGAAGGCCAACTTCTAAAAATCTCTCTATTGCATCTTGCTTTCATAATGAAAATTTCTCTACAACCCAGCTCTCTCTCATGATGGATAATAAGCCACGCAAGCATAACATAATCTAGAGGGTGAAATAGATAAACAGGGTAGAAAAGCAAAGAGCTGATAGAAGAAACTGCAGAAATTCAATGAGCTGGATCTTCAAAAATCATTTAAAAAAGAGGAGGAGAGCGTAATTTTTGGATAAAGCCAAATTTATAATTATGGTATGGTTAACTAAACTTCCAAGTTAGTGTCACAGCTCAAGAGATTAGCCATAGTTCTAATGGTGGGCTAGGTTGGCCAGTGGAAACCTGTACTGAATGCTAGATTCAGCTAGGTAACAATGAAAAAGCCAGAAAGTTCTTGGCACAACGTAGAGGAGATCAGTGTTACATGGGATCCAATGGGCTCAACCTTCCTTCCTATTGATACCTTCACCATGTCCCTAATGAGATTAGTGCCTTGCTGCAGGGTGTACACTGGTGAGGAAAACACTGGAATCTTTCCGGAAGTGCTTTCCTGGCTGTCTTTACCAGGGAGAGATGCTGGTGGAAGGGACTGGCTTCAAGTTGGGAGTCCTGATCTTAGTGGGGTGGAAGGAGCCTCAGAGGCCACAGTTACCAGGGTGCAAATATCTTTGATTGTAGGTAATTCGTTGTGAAGCTCCCAGTAAGGAAAATGGGAGGAAGCCAGCCTAGGTCAATTGAGGACACCTGACTAGACTGTCATGCTAGAGAAAGAGGCTCCTTCACTCTCACTCCCAGGCCTGAGTCGGTTTACAGACCCAGAACCCTTCAATGATGGGCATATGTAAGGAAGAACCCTGCCACAGCACATCAGCATTTATATAACAGAAACTATCGTCCTCATCTTCCTCTCAGAATCTGCAGCCATGTACCAAGGTAACTTTACCAGGTAAAAAGGGCAATACACCGTATGGGGTCTGGCCTTGAGCTAACTAATTCCTGGGAACCCAGAATGTCACTATTTTATGCTAGTTAGAATGGAGCTTTTGCAGGCCAGCTGATGCAAGGAATTTTGGCCTGAATTAGCCTCATGTTAGGAACTATTTTTCCCAATGAATGGCTGGAACAGATCTCTATAGCAAGCAGAATACCCGCACTGTTCCCTAAACCCTTTGGATACAGACTAATACAGCATCAGGACCAAATGCAAGTTGCTAGAGCAGTAATCTCTATTTACCAAAGGATAAATCCCTAGGTGAGTCACAGAGATTCTAAGTGCTATAGAAGACTTGAAAGCTGCAGGATAATGATAATATATTTATGTGTCCAAGTTTAGTGGTGGCACAAGTGAATGCTCAATAACTCCTAGTATTAGCTATTCTGACGCTTCCTATTACTCCCCACACATACTACCAAATAGACTAGCACAAGAGACTGACCATTTTATTTTATTTTATTTATTTTTTTAAGACTGACCATTTTAAAGATGTCAGTAGATTATGACACATAAATCATGTGGAGCTGTGGATTTGAAGTTTCTTTTTCCAGATGTACTCTACTTCCCATAGATTAACTTTACCGCTGGTCCCTGGAATAGCATTATTAACCAGGCCAATGCATGTTTTTTTCCTTTATGGTGCACACAGGCTACATGAAGCAATTTCCCTTTCTCATGGCAGAAGCAGCCTCAGTGATGTCATTTGGACCTTTTCTCTGCTGTGATCTGGTTTATTGGGATTTTGTCTCACTGTTTCACAGGACATCACCTCGACAACCATGCTGATGACAACAAGCTGAAAGGACTTGAAGGGCAGGATGTTGTATATGTTAGATGTACATGCTAGGCATAAAAATAAAAACATAGTGGCCTGCCACCTCAGCCAAGTTTTCTCAAAGTCAAAGGTTTGCACACGTCAGGATATCTCCTATGGACAAGCTGCTGCTTCCCCCCACCCCACCCTGGAGGAGGAGTCATGCTTGTCAGGCCATTTTGGATTTTGGAGACAGCATACACCACTGTTGATGTCCTGCTTTGACACATTTATGAGTGATCTGAAAAGAGAAGGCTCTTTAGCTAACCCAGGCCACAGAGAAACTGGCACTGGCAGAGTCTATGGGGCCCTAACTGTCTGGTTAAGGTTGAACAAAAGAATCATATGAAAAACCTTAAGATTTGAGGATAAGACTATGATCTTGTCAGCAAGACCATGTTCCTAGCTTAGTGTTAGATTCTGGTAATGAATGTAAGCCTGACCATGGGATTCAAACAACTTCAACTACCTATCATAAACTAAATATTATGTGATTCAATAAGCCATAAATTTCTACATATCCAGCGGAATTCCACCACCAGCTGGAAGTGATGTGTACAGAATACTCGCCACATACCCACTCCCTTCAGTAGACACTTCTGACTTCCCAATGGTATCAACGGTTAACTGAGAAAGAAAAAATGCCTGGCCCAGTGTACAAATGGCTCTGTGAGATGTGCTAGTCCATTTACAGGTGGACTGCTGTCAGATAATCTGTTCAAAGGATGGCTCTGAATCAGTATAATAGAGAAATCCTTCCAGTGAACAGAACCTCAAGCAAGGGACCCCACTATCTATCTCCGTGGTCCCCAACCTTCTTGGCACCAGCGACCAGTTTTGTGGAGGACAAATTTTCCACGGATGGCGGGGCTGGGGAGGGAAACCGGCAGCGGAGCTCAGAGAGCTCAAGTGGTAAGGCAAGTGAAGCTCTGTTTGCTCGCTGCTCAGCTCCTGTTTTCCTGCTGTGTGGCCCAGTTCCCAGCAGGCCATGGACTGGTACCAGTCTTTGGCCAGAGGGTTGGGGACCCCTCGTCTATCTCACTGGTGGTCAGGATCTAAACCAATCCTTGGGTAATGGACAACTGGAACAAGAAAGATAGAAAATAGTTATGTTTCATGCATATGCTCACCAAAGGGCACTATTTGCTTAACAACCCAAGAGATACTGGTCAGCCCTTTCCCCTAATATCAGTGCTGGCCCAAACAGCCCATGAATACAGTGGCCATGGCTGCACAGCAATTGGCTCTCACCACAATATTTAATGAATTTGCCTACTATACCTCTAAGAATACCACCTGCATCCAGGGATTTACTGGAATGCCTCAGTGAATATTACCTTCAAAGATCTCATCTCACAGAAAAAGAAGTATGGCCATGGGGGCACATACCCATTATCCAGAGGAGCTGGCACTACGGACTGTAGAACAGTAGAGTGTGTCTGTTAGACACCTAGCTATGCTGCTAAGGCTGGGATGCCATCGTGTGGGATGAGATAAAACATTCTCAATCAATAATGAGCAACAATGGTGCTGTTTTTTCTCAACAGCCAGAAAAAAGGGTCCATGTCATTCCATTAACTCTTGCCAACTAAATAGTCCCTTGCTTCACTTCTTGCTTCCCTCCCCATCTATAATCCACATTGTAGCTAGTGACCTTCTCAGAGTGCATATCCGACCACGTCATTGTCTGTTCCCCTAAACCCTTTAGTGGTGGGGCAGATGAGTGGTGACCTACCCACCTGATAACTGTCCCTCCCTTCCTCCCTGCTACTAGAGCTCCAATAATCTGGACTGGTCTCAGTCAGTTGTAATAAGCCTATTTATCCCTAGCTTATGACTGGTTTAGAAAGAAGCATGTGACAAGGGAAGTCTCCAGAGGATTTTTGGTAAAATTTTCCTCACTGATAAAAGGAGACACACAAGAAGAAACAGTCATCCTTTGTCCACTGGACCTTGTGATACTTCCATGTGCCTAGAACTGGGACAGCCATTTTGGTATCAGACAGGAGCCAGTCTCAGAGACAAAGCTGACACATGTGATTAAGCTGAAAGGTGTGAAGGAGAAGAGAGTTTACCAATGCCCAAGTTGATAAATTAGCCAGTTCTGGAACTGTCCCTCTATGTCCTCAAATCCATTCCCTTTCCCTAATCATAACCACCTTATGTCAATCTATCAGTACCCTCTGGTACCAACATTTGTTGCACCCCTAACTATATTTGTTGCACCTATTCTGATCTCCCTGAAGGCCATTCTCTACATAGCAGCCAGTCATTTTTCCAAAATATAAACTTAAATTCCCAAGATGAGACCTTTATTCGGCAGTCTCAGTCTTTATTTTCCACACTGAACTACTCCTTGTCTACATGAGACATTCTGGGATACCTATTCCAGATTTAAAAGGGGACCTGTTTATACAGCCTCCTATTATTATGCACCAGTCCTTCATGTTCTATATTGCTGTTTGAACTTACAGAGTTATTTCTGTTCTGGTTTATAAACAGAGAGTTTGAATGTAGGGACTAGATCTGTTGCTTGCCAGCAACTCCTAGGCATTTAGCACATATTAGATGCTTAGTAAGTATTTACTAATCAGTGTAGCAGATGAGATGATGAATGGATAGATGGATGGGTAGATAAGGGAGGTGAGACAAATCTTTCTTCATTTCCGTCCATAATCACATTGGAAAGGAGTCAGATGAACTTGGTAAAAGTTTTCTCACCTCTTAATCCATTAAAAACCTGATTTCTCCCCCAAGACTTTAGGTCTACTTTCCTCCCTGCTGACACACCAGTCTCAGTAAAGAACTCACATTGAATTCCTCTCTGAAGAGCTTATTGTCATCAGCCATTCTCCGGTTAATCTCTTCTTCCAGCTTGTCCACGGGCAGGGGTGGATACTTCCTGTTGGTGCTTGGGGACCTGGCCAGAAGTGGCATGCTCTGTGGCTCTGCAGTGCACAAGGGGGAATGTTGGTTGGGGGAACGTTGGTCAGGGGCCCTGGGAACCAGCCCTTCTCTGGAGACTAAACTGGGGACTCTAACTCATGGACTGAGCCTCTAAGAACTAGGGCTGGTCCCTTCAAGTCTTTTTACTTTTCCTATTAGGATAAGGAAACCCCTAATTTCTTGATTTTCTTCTTCATGAAAGTTCCCCATGCCATTAAAGGGTTCCTTACCCACATCCTCAGTGCGGCCATTGGACAAGCGGAAAGAATTGGAATGGCTCCCAGCTTGCTTGTATTTCTTAAACCTAATGAGAAAATGTTCATAGTGAAAAACTAAGCACAGAGACAGAAGAGACCAATCGTTGGCTTTGTATTTCCACTTATCAACAGCCTTTCTAAATTTCCTTTATCAAATAAACAGGCTCTTTTAGAGACAGATTCTGCACATGCTGAGACAACTCCATTCCATGGTGCTCCTGCTCACCCTCAGCACACCAGAATCCGAGCCAGGTAACACCACCAGGATATTCTAGCTTGTGGCTCTATGCAGCTCCAGTTCCAGAATTCATTGGAGATCATAGCCATACCAGGTGAAAAAAGGATGAGTGAGGAGATCATAGTGTGTGTGTGTGTGGGGGGGGGGGGATCCAGGAGATGGGGTAGATAAAACTATCCATATCAAACAAAAATTCTGGTATTTTTCCAGTGCAACCAGGGAAAAACCCAGAACTTCAGATTGGATGGGCACAGGTCTGGCCTCAAATCTCCTGCAGAGTGATGGAGACATGTGACAAATTATAGGGATGTACAAGGTTCCCCTCTCTTTATCTCCATAGAAGAACAGAAGGAGCACACAGAACAGCTTAAGCCAAAGATAAGGGCAGAGTTAAACCCAGTTAGGGCAGTAACATAAGCAGGAAGAGAACAAATACACTCCCCTCTTTTCTTCAGTGGGTTCCCCTTTCATGCTTTTGATCCCTTGAATAGCATTATCTAGAGGACCCTGAGAGTCAGAAAGGGGAACCCTACATAACTTACATGGTTTAATTCAGTATTCCAGGGTTTGGGGAACAAAGCCCCATTCAGAAATAACCTAGGCCTTTATTAAGCATAAAATCTCCATCAGGGCACTTTTAAGGGTTGCTTCAACGGGGCTAGATAATGAAGACCTTAAACAGCTATCAGTAATAACACAGAATGTAGCTTCTTTCCTCAACCTCTAAACCACCATCCTGGACTTTAGGTTAGAGTGGAGTTGGGGGGGCTTGACTTGGACAGGTGAAATCAAAGGGGAGGGAGTTGGGTCTTGAGGAAGACTATGAAGAGCTTTAAAACCATTTCTAAGTAGAACTTTAATGTTAGGAGCACTATCATGAGTCATTCCCCTATATCCTACTTATTGTCCTTATCCTACTGCCTTCTGGACTGCGTGGGCTTGAGACTCTGAGGTTACTGAAGTAAGAGTCCATGAGAATGCAGAAGCATTAGCTCATATGCTCACCTTAACATGTACAGAACTATGATTATGAACACGATCACTAGTAGAAAGGACAGGGCCACCATCACTGCAATAATTGGAGTCTTATCTGAAATTGAAAGAACAAAACATGTCATTACCATTGTGTGCAAGAGAGGGCTCAAGTTGGCTGCTCAGGGCACGGACAGAATGACTGAGAGTGAGAGGAAAACACTTCCCACTGCTACCTCATCTCTGACCTATACATTTGTTTTCTATCTGTCCTCCTGCATTTGAATAAAAGCTCTTTGAAGGCAGAGACTGTGTTTTGTTCATTGTTATAGAACCTAAAACAGTGCTTAGTACATAAAAAATGAGTATTTGAAAGCATAAACACATCCAATCCTGATGTTAATCTGGGTACGAGGGCTAACAACGTACTCTCTCCCCAGCTTCAATGAGCTCCATCTAGAGGAAGATGAGAAAGAAATGAAAGAGGACAATTTTCCAATTATAAACCCAAACGGTTTCCTGGCACAAAAAATACTGTTCCTGATTAAAGCAAGAAGACATTATTAGATCCCCAAACACTATGTATCCAAAATGCTGGGTACCCTTTTCTACCTCTATCCACAGCCACTTTTTATGAGAACCCCAACTGCAGCAATATCTGGCTGAGAGATATACTGGAAGGCAGGCCCTTGGATTTCCATCCCATAGAGTCTGGCTTCCTTTCCACCCAATACTTGTAGCCTTCTTTCTCATGGCAGCTGACCAAGTGCTGACTCATCCTTCTCTACTCTCATGCCTCCATCACAAACTATGCAACCAGCCTGAGTCTGTAACTATATTCACTATTTTCCCTTCTACTGAAAGGGAAGATGAGTCCCTCCCATGTGAAAGTCAATGCTGTCACACATGCTATGGATTACATCCATTATTGTCACCTCAAAGACTTGTCTTCTTGACTGACCTCATTTACCCTCCTCTAGTCACCAATAGCCTCCCCCAGGCTTCACAGTTAACATCTCACAACATAGTTATCTTGTCTAATTCTTTACCCTCCAGGTACTCCTTATCCTCAGTGTTCCATTTAAACTGCTCATCAAAGACACCAACAAATAACATATTTCAAAATCCAATGGAAACATTCCCATACTCATTTGATTCGACCTCTTAGCAGCATTCATTTAAAAAAATTATTAATGGACAAGCAATTGTATGCCAGGCACTGTTCTATACCCCGGGAACAGAAAAGCAATCAAGCAGAGAAGTAACAGAGAGTCTACATTCTGGAGGAAGGTGGGGGGGTACTGTTTGTAAAAAGTAAATACATTATTTCAGATAGGGATAAGTGCTATGAAGAAAAGAACAGTAGGACTGATCCAAGATCGTGGCAGAATAGGTGAAGGGACAGTAACGTCCTCTCAGGATCAAAATAAAATTACAACTAAATTACAGAACAATAAACCTTAATAACTAACTGAAGACTAGCTGAACAGAAGTCTTATAACCAAGGATTTACAGAAGAAGCCACGTCAAGACTGGTAGGAAGGGTAGACATGAGAAAAGGGTAGGCCCTGCACCCATGCGCATTAGCTGATAATCTAGAGGGATAGCTCAGGTGCAAAGGTCCACTTTGAGGAGCAAGGGGTCTCAATGCCAGAGCTGAGAGGAGGCACCCATATATCATTTGGCTATGAAAACCATCAGGGATTCTGTCTGCCAGGGAGAGACAAGAGTGTGCTAGAAACCTAGGCACACAAAACGTCATTCACAGGCACTCACCCTGGGCTCCAGTGGAGAGAATGCAGCTCAGAGGGTTGTGTGGCTTTGGGGAGAAAATTAAATGAACAGCTGCCAAAGTTCCTATGCTGAGTCCTTTACTGATACCACCAACAGATGCCATCTCTCCTGGATCAAGCACTCCCCTCCACACTGCCTAAGGGAATGTACTAGCCCCACTCTCCTGACTCCCTGTGGCCCTGCCATGCAGAGTTCCCCTTCCTCCACATGGCTAAATCTTGGTATATTTTAGCCTGATAAACTCTGCTGGCTTCACTGTGACAACTCCCTGAGACCCTGCCCCACCACAAAAATCTCCAGGCCCCCAGTGGGTGACAGCTGGCCTTGGTGTACCCTGAGACTTTTGCTTAATAGCCTCAGATCCAGCAATGATGCCAAGTCTGAATCTGTATCAACTTGGTGAACACCATTCACCCCTCCCTGGTAACTCATTAAGAACTTAGCTAACAGGCAGCTGGTGGCGGATCTCAGGATGCCTTGGGCCTTTTGCTGACCTGCCCCTAGACTTGGAGCTGGTAGAAGCCAGACTTGGTATGCAACTTGCCTTCTCCTATGCACACCCAGGCCAAGGAGAGGCAACCACAAACTGTGGATCACTTTGTAGTTCCAAACGGGTAGCCCAGGGCCAGTCACAGGAAGTGCCTGACACTGACCTGCACCCAAGAGGCCTCAGAATCAACACAATGGTGGCTTCAGACGGAATCAGAGCATGACCCAACTGTTTCCACAAGTGGCACGTCCAAAGGGAGTTCTAGGCAGGCAGCAGATCCTGCAGGGGTGAATTGCATACACAGCTCATATACACTGTGGTTAGGGTTGATTCTCATATCAGCTAGCCTGAGAGTCAACCCCACCCATGGATGTGCCAACAGCAATCAAGACTTAGCTACAATGAGAGGGCTTATATAACCCACACAAGGCACATTTCTGGAACATCTAGCACAGATAATCAGGGAGACTGCACCACTGAGCTCCAAAGATACATACATAAGGCCACAATACCAAGATGGGGCACACAGCACATCTATGTAATACACAGAAACAAAAACAGAGAGGCAGACAAAATGGGGAGACAAAAAAGCATGCCCCAAATGAAAAAAGAGGAGAAATCCTCAGAACTAAATAAAATGGAAGCAAGCGATCTACATTATATACAGTCCAAAACAATGATTATAAGGATGCTCAGGGAACCTAGGGGAAGACCAGATGAACTCAGTAAAACTTAAAGAGATAGCATAAAAAAGGACACATAAATCATAAAAAAGCAGTCAGAAATGAAGAATATAGTATCTGAAATGAAGACTATACTAGATGCAATCAATAGCAGGTTAGATGAAGCAGAGACATGAATCAGTGATTTGAAAGAGAAGGTAGTGGAAAACAATCAGAGCAGCAAAAAGAAAAAAGTTTTAAAAAATGTGGATAGTTTAAGGGACTTCTACGACAACATCAAGTGTAACAATAGTGGCATCATAGGGGTACCAGCAGGAGTTGAAAGAGAGCAAGGGATTAAGAACCTATTAAAGTAATAACTAAAAACTTCCCTAACCTGGTAAAGGGAAAAGATGTAAAAGTCCAGGAAGGCAGAGACTCCCAAACAAGATAAACACAAAAAGGCCCACACCAAGACTCATCATAATTACAACAGCAAAGGTTAAAGACAAAGAGAGAATCTTTAGAGTAACAAGAGAAAGACAATGACCTACAAGGCAGCTCCCATAAGACTGTCAGCTGATTTCTCAACAGAAACTTTGAAGGAATTGGTATGAAATATTCAAGGTGATAAAAAGCAAGGACTTACAATCAAGACTACTTTACCCAGCAAGGCTATCATTTAAAATTGAAGGAGAAATAAAGAGCTTTATAGGCATGGAAAGGCTAAAGGAATTCATTACCATCAAACTAATACTTCAAAAAATGTTAAAGGGTCTTCTTTTAAAAAAGAAAGAAAAGAGAGGAACATAACTATAAAGAATAAAGTGACAATAAATATGTACCTCTCAATAATCACTTTAAAGGTAAACGGATTAAATGCATCAATCAAAAGACACATGGGGAGCTGAACGCATAAGAAAACAAGACCCATATACAAAGTCTTGTTTGTATGAAAATAATAATTAATAAATAATAATACAAGAATATACTCTATGTTTCACATACTCACAACTGTAAACCTACTTTTGCCTCACCCTGTATATGCTGTCTACAAAAGACCCATGTCAGATGGAAAGTTACACACCAGACTGAAAGTAAAGGACTGGAAAAAGATAGTCCACATAAACTGAAATGAAAGAGAAAGTTGGGATAGCAATTTACATTAGACAAAATAGACTTTAAAACAAAGGCTGTAATGAGACAAAGAAAATTACCTAATGATGAAGGGATCAATCCAACAAGAGTGTATAACTCTTGTAACCATTTACACACCCAACACAGGAGCACCTAAATATATAAAGCAAATATTGATGGATATAAAGGGAGAGATCTACAGCAAAACAGCCACAGTAGGGGATTTTAACATTCCACTGACATCAATGGGTAGACATTCAAGACAGAAAAGAAACAAGAAAACAGTGGCCTTAAATGACACACTAGATCAGATGGATTTAATTGATATATTCAGAACATTTCACCCCCAAAGCAGCAGAATATACATCCTTTTCAAGTGCACATGAAACATTTTCCAGGACAGATCACATGTTAGGACGCAAAACAAGTCTCAAATCATATCAAGCAACTTCTATGAACACAATAGCATGAAATTAGACATCCATTCCAAGAAAAAAACTCTGAAAAACATACAAATACGTGGGGACCAAACAATATATTACTAAAACAATGAAAGGGTTAACAATTAACTAAAAAAAAATTAAAAAATACCTTGAGACAAATGAAAATCGAAACATAAAATAACAAAATCTATGGGACACAGAGAAATCAGTCTTAAGAGAGAAGTTCATAGCATTACAGATCTACCTCTAGAAACAAAAAATATTTCAACTAAACAATCTAATCTTGTATCTAAAGGAATCAGAATAAGAACAACAAAGTCCAAAGTGAAAAATAATTAAATAATAAATATCAGAGTAGAAATAAACAAAATAAATAAAGTCAGAAATGAAAGAGAACATTTGATACCACAGAAATACAAAGAATTATAAGAAAATATTCTGAACAACCATATGCCAAACATTGGACAACCTGGAAGAAATAGATAAATTCCTAGAAACATACAATCACCAGAGAAATGCAAACTAAAACCACAAAGAGATATCACCTCACACCTCTCAGAATGGCTATCATCAAAAAATCAACAACAAGTGC